ATTTATCCAGTGATCCCACTTCTAGGAATATGTCTCAAGAAAACAGAAACAATAATCAGAAAGGATATATGCATCCCTATGTTCATAGAGACACAATTTACCATGGCTAAGATTTGGAAACAGCCTAAGTGCCTACCAGCAGATAAGTGGATTAGAAACCGTGGTACATCTACCCAATGGAATACTATGCTGCAGTAAAAAAGAAGGAATTCTTACCATTTGCAACAGCATGGATGGAACTGGAGAGTATTATGCTAAGTGAAATAAGCCAGTCAATGAAAGAAAAATACCACATAATCTCACTCATTTATGGATAATAAAGACCATTATAAACTGATGAACAAAAATAGATACAGAGGCAGAGCAGCATCGAACAGACTGCCAAACTACAGTGGGAAAGCTGGGGAGGGTTGTGGGGTGGAGTTTTAAGAGATCAACCAAAGGACTTGTATGCATGTATATAAGCATAACCAATGGACACAAGACACTGGGGGGATAGGGGAGTCCGGGGAAGGTCAAGGAGGAAAATAAAAAGGAGACATATGTACTAGTCTTTGTAATATTTTAAGCAATAAAACAAAATTAAAAAAAAACAACAACAAAAAATAAAATGCTATCTGGATGAAAAAAAAATATTTTTCCTCCAAAATTTATGATAAATATTTATTCAGTAACTACTAATTGCTAGGCTGTTTTTCACATTGAGCATTCACATAAGGCCAGGGAGACACAGTCACAATAAATCAACAAATTCATTATTTTATTATTTTTTCAAGTTAATTATTAAAAATTGAGAGTTATGTAGAAAACAGACAGATGCTGTCATAAAGAATAACAAATTAGAGGGAGGGTGTATTTAGTAACAGCATTTTTTTTAAAAAAATCCAAAATCCATTGAAGAATATTCATCTATTCCCATCATTAATTATGACCATTATGGCAATGCTTTCAAACTGGTTATTGGTAGTACCATATGAATTTGTCCTTCACATTGCTCACATTTAAAGTGAAAGCAAAACTTTCATCAAATAACATAGGTGCTATATAAACTGTTTATGTTTACAATTATTTTTATTAAAAAAAGTAGTTCTTAATACCTGATTGATAAATTTTAAATATAAGATTTGCACATTATTGTTTGAAATTTTTTTCAACAATATACTCAAACTTGGCCTGGCCAGTGTGGCTCAGTGGTTGAGTGTTGACCTATGCAGCAGGAGGTCATGGTTCAATTCCAGGTCAGGACACATGCCCAGGTTGAAGGCTTGATCCCCAGTGGGAGGCGTGCAGGTGGCAGCCAATCAATGAGTCTCTCTCATCATTGATGTTTCTACCTCTGTCTCCCTCTACCTTCCTCTCTGAAATCAATTTAAAAAATATTCAAAATTGTGCAGAGGGTGAACAATTTCCAATTTCACAACTGACTTCATTTGAGAAGTTACCAAAGAAAAAGATTGAATAAAACAAAAAATGCTTCAAATTTTTAATTTTTTATCACCTGAAGTAGCATAGAGCTAGCGAGACATTTCATAGAATGAAATTTTACCAGTGTAGCATCATTCAGTTTTTTAATATACAAAAGTTTTGGTAGACAGAAAGAAAAAGTTAACATACTTTCTAAAGTTTACACTAAAATTGAACTGAATAGAGACATGTACATAATAGAAAAATGCAAAGGTATTTCCAGACTATTTAGATGTTGTACATATTGTAAGCAGTCTGCATCTTACAAGAAATCTGAGTCTCCTCATATGTGCAATGCTTGTTTTCATTCCACATTGCTTAATTACCAACTAACTTAAATAGGAAATGATGCTAAATTCATAGTTTACTGGGGTTCTACCCCAGAGTAGCAACGCCTCACTCACATGACAGCTGAACAACAACATGAAGAGGTCTGGTATTCAGCATGATGAAATGATTTGTCCGATTAATTATAAGTAACAAAACTAGGTTCATCTATAAGTTTATGGGTATTCTGACTTGACCTAATGACTATATATTGAATGATAAATCTCACCCATCAAAACTCTGCACAGCATTGTCATGGAAAATGGAAAAACAAAAGACCAGCAGAAGAGGGCAGGGAGAGGAAAAACGGGGAGAAGCTACAATAATACATTACAAAGAAGAGAAAAACTGGAGAGTAATATTTCTTCTAGCATGTCTATCTTTAAGAAAATGACATGCAACAGAACACAAAGCTTAAAGTCAGGCGATCTAGTTTCAAAAAATGCATATACACATAGCTGGGTAAACCTGAATATGTTATTTAACTTCTTGGCATTACAATTTCTCCCTTGGAAAACTATGCATTGTTTTAAGAATTTTAAAAGACTCCTTATTTCTAAATACATCAAGAAA